TTCCGGCTTTTTTTCTTTTTGCTTATGTGGTGCTGAGGAATCGAACCCAGGGCCTCAGGCATGCAAGGCAAGCGCTCTACCACAGAGCCACCTTCGCATGCCTCTGTAAAAGGGTTCTTTAAAGAGAGAAATGATTGAAATGTTCATTGTGCACTTTCAGTGACCTATGTATAGCATCTCTTGGCTCTCATATTCTATGTCATGAGCCTTGTTTTCTCCATGAGCCTCCTGGGCATAGAGAAATTCAACTCCTGGCTGTGATAAGTAGAGGCATGTCTTAGCCCTGGACTCTGGCCTCCTTTGTGTTTGTGGGGTTGCAGGCATGGCCTGAAGTGGAGCAGTGGGCTGCACCCACCAGGAGGATTGAGGGTCCAGTGAGGGTGTGAGGGGCCAGAAGACAGAGTTTAATAGAGTCTGGAAAGCTTTGGAGGAGACATTCTTGGGTGGAGGCTGGCTTGGGGAGCTTAGGTTGGCTTTGCTCATGGTGTGTGCAGAAAACCATAAAGGCCCTGTTCTCCTGTCCTGGGGTGTAGGCAGGCCATGGGTTAAACAGGGAGGTGCAGAAAAGGTTATTTCAGTAGGTGGTTGATTGTACTGCAGTGGCCAAGAGTTGGCAAAGCAGAATAAGGGTGGCAGATTGGGAAACAGGGCATTGAGCACAGCTCTGAGGGTGGCAGCAGAATTACTGGGTTTGGGATCATCTGAGTTCTGCAGTAGCCAGCCACATTTGGAGGAACTGGAGTTTGAGTTTAGGTTTGCATATAAGAAGCCAGAATACTTAGTTCTAGCTCTCAGACTGAGGCAAGAAGTTCTCTAGTGTGAAGCCAGCCTGGACCACATCATAAGACTTTATCTCAACAACAAAACTAGATAGGCAGACAAAAGAACGTTAGTGGGACCACAGAGCTTTCTGCTAGGATTCGAGGAGTATGTGGGTTTGTCACAGAATGGTGACCAATTTTATTATCCTGTTTCGTCTGTTAGGAGAAAATCCAGGCCTTGGAGGTGGAGCTGCAGAATGTTGGCCAAAGCAAGATGCTGCTGGAGAAGGAGCTTCAGGAAGTGATTGCAATGACTAGCCAGGAGTTGGAAGAGTCTCGTGAGAAGGTTTTGGAGCTAGAAGATGAGGTAACACCTGTATATTGCCATGCAGTGCCCTATATTGCTCAACACTGCTGCTTGTGTCTGGTTGTCTTCTGATTATTGTTGGAGACATCTATCTATCATCTATTTATTATTTATTGCCAGTCTTGGGGCTTGAACTCAGGGCCTGGACACTGTCCCAAGTTTCTTTTGCTCAAGGCTAGCACTCTTCCACTTGAACCACAGCACAATTTCTGGCTTTTTCTGTTTATGTAATACTGAGGAACCAAACATAAGGCCTCATGCATGCTAGGCAAGCATTCTACCACTAAGCCACATTCCCAGCCCAAAAGAGACTATTTCTAGTGCACTAGTGAGGACAACAGTGAAAATCATTGATAGTTACATGGATGAATCTTAGGATAACCAGTGTGAATCTTGGGTTTCCCCCGTTAGAGAGGTTTAGTTGAAAATAAGAAAACACAACTTGAGCCTTTTAAGGAACACTCAGAGATAGCAGAGGCAGCTGTATCTCCAGACGATGCTAACTACATCTTGGCATAGTCATCAAGAGCTCTTGCCATTGACTGGCCTGTGTCTTGGCCCATCTCGACCCCTTTTCAGAGTCCTGGGAGACTGCCAGTCACTTTGGGTCAGCATACTTCTCCAGCCCTCTCTGTCCCGCCCTGAAATGTGTGTTGGTAATACTAGCCAAGCTCCATGCCACTATATTGTGTTGGTGCGGGCTGGGCTGGAAGCAGTTCTTGGACAGAAGCTCCTGTGGTCCCAGAAGAGCAGCCTGTACTCAGGTGCTTCCCCTTCCCACATCAAAAATCAAGGAGAACAGTTTGCGTTATGCTTTAGTATTCAAAAGGATTTAGTATTCTAAGCTTGCAGTTTTCAGGTAGTTTTATTGGAGATAAGAGTCTCACAGATTTTCCTGCCCGGGCTGGCTTTGAACCGTGATCCTCAGATCTCAGCCTCCTGAGTAGCTAGGATGACAGGCGTGAGCCACCAGTGCCCGCCTAGAACAGGTATCTTGACAGTTACTTTTGGTATGTTTCAGCTTCAAGAATCCAGAGGCTTCAGAAAGAAGATAAAGCGCCTAGAAGAGTCAAATAAGAAGCTGGCTCTTGAGTTAGAACATGAGAGAGGGAAGCTCACAGGCCTTGGACAATCCAATGCAGCTTTACGGGAGCACAACAGCATACTGGAGACGGCGTTAGCCAAGAGAGAGGCTGATCTGGTGCAACTGAATCTCCAGGTACCCAGACTTCCCAGAACAGAGGGAGAGTTGTGTGCCCCATGCATACTGTGTCTGACTATATCCAGTCACCTCAGGTACTCAAGAGAACACAACACTCCACTACAGAGAGGATGTAGGTGCTCCGAGGCTCCAGGAATGTATTTAATTCACAAACCAAGATCTTTCAGATGTAGGGTAGACCTGGGCTCTGCATGTAAAACCAGGTGTTCTGTCAGTTGTAGAGTCAGTATGTTGGCTTACTTATTTCATTCTGCATAATGGGTTCCTGAAGGAAAGAGGTGGACTATCCTCTTGTTTTAGCAATGACTTGTGCAGTAGTTGTTACCTGAAGTTCTCACATGGTTCACAACTTGGATTTGAACTCTGCCCAGAGTATTACTAGCAGACACTTTTCTTAGCTTCTTCGGTTCCACAGCCACCATGTGGACTGAGAAGAAGCTGCTAGCTAAGCTTAGAGAAGTCTGCAGAATGACAATCTAAGGGCCACATTGCATGTCAGCCTTAAAATGTCCAGTCACTAGAGACTTGAATAGCTTACACTTTTCCCTAGCTCCTACCACTTCCATTCTTACTATGTTGCCTTGCCTTGTGTTGTAATTTAGGATTTATGTATGTGTCTATGTTACTAAATGTGACCAAGTGAGCAGTCCTTTGAACTCATCTCACAGCAGATGGACTCCTCTCCCACTGTGACATGTATTGCCCTGCTGGGTTCCTGAGAGTGGACTTCCTAGAGGAGTTTTGGCTGTACGAGGCCATACACTGTATCATGGGCTCTAAGGAGTTTTCTTTCCATATCCTTTTGCAATGCATTCTAGGTACAGGCAGTTTTGCTGCGCAAAGAAGAGGAGGATCGCCAAATGAAGCAGCTTGTCCAGGCCTTACAAGCCTCATTAGAGAAAGAAAAGATGGAAGTAAACAGCCTCAAAGAGCAGGTATGTGACCACTTCTAGTCACCTTCAGATTCATAGGCCCTTCTGTCAGATCTTTCAGTGTCTACAAAGTTACATGCTCTTCACACACATAAGCAACTCTTCTCCCAAGACTCTTCTCTAGGGAGGAGAGTTATCATCATAGAGTTGTGAGGACAGAGGCTGCTGAAATTTTAAAAAATGACATTCAGCTAGTTGCTGGTGACTCGTGCCTGTAATCCTAGCGACTGTGGGTTGTAGTTCAAAGCCTGTCAGAGCAGGAAAGTCCATGAGACTCTTATCTCCAATTAACTACTAGAAAACTGGAAGTAGAGTTGTGGCTCAGTGATAGAGTACTACTAGCCTTTAGCAGGAAAGCTCAAGGACAGCACCCAGGCCCTGAGTTCAGGCCCCACAACAGCAAAAAAACCCACTTATCTATGCAGGCCTAGGAATGTGGATTGATCCATACGTGTATACATGTATTAGTCATTACTAGGAAAACATGTCCTTTGTAATGCCAGGTTCGAAAAGCACACTTACTGTTTGTGCTAAAAACAGACAAACGAACTGGAATGTGACTTAAATGGTAGAGCACTGGAACACAGAGCCTTGAGTTCAATCTCTAGTACTGCAAAATAGGGAAAGGTAGACAAGAATCTGGGTGTGGTGGTACAGGCCTGTTATCCAGTACCAAGGGTGCTGAGGCAGAAGGATCCTGAATTTGAGGCCAGCCTGGGCTACATTTCAAAGCACAGTCTCAAAAAAGTGTTTTCAGTATAAAGAGCCACAGTATGTAGCTACTGATCAATAAGGCAAGTCATTTAGCAGAAGCTTGTGCTAATCACTGTGCATTTTATCTCAGGCCCTGTTCTACAAAGTTTCTTTATTAGAATACGAACTTCCTGCTGAAACACCCCCAGTGCTTGGCACAGAACATGCACTCAGGGCCACTAGCTACGTGTGTGCTTGTGGGCATAGAAGTTGCTAGGAGAGGGTTAACTGTAATTGTCTGTGAAGAAATATGGAAAAGAACACCTCACTTTATCTCTAATCTCTAGATTACCTTACAAGTTACAATTACTTTTCCAAATTTTTCAACTTAAAAAATAAAGCTTCTTCTTGTGATCTAGATTTTTGCCACATCCATAAAAACATCTGTGTGATGATAGAATAGGAAATAATTCTTTTTTTTTTTTTTTTTGGTCATAGGCCTGAACTCTGGGCCTGGGCACTATCCTTCAGCTCTTAAGCTCAAGGCTAGCGCTCCACCACTTGAGCCACAGCGCCACTTGCAACTTTTTCTGAGTATGTGGTCCTGAGGAATCGAACTCAGGGCTGCATGCATACACGGCAAGCACTCTACCACTGAGCCACCTTCCCAGCCCAGGAAATATTCTTTATTTCTTGGGTGGTGTGTATGTGTGAGAGAGAGAGAGAGAGAGAGACAGACAGAGAGAGAGACATAGAGTGACAGAGAGAGTGTATGTGTGTGTTCATGTTCATGTTTCTGAGGCTTGACCTTAGTGCCTGGGTGCTATCACTGAGCTTCTTTTGCTTAAGGCCTAGGACTCTTACCACTTGAGCCATAGCTGTATTTCTGGCTTTTTTTTTTTTTTTTGGTAGTTTATTGTAATTAGAGAATTTAACAGACTTTGCTGCCTAAGCTGGCTTTGAAGCACAATCCTCAGATCTCAGCCTCCTGAGTAGCTAGGGTTACAGGTATGAGCCACTAGTGCCTGGCAAAATTGTGTGTGTGTGTAGTTTTTGGGGTTTTTTTGCCAGTCTTGGGGCTTGGATTCTTTTTTTTTTTTTTGTCAGTCGTGAGCTTGAACTCTGGGCCTGGGTGCTGTCCCTCAGCTCTTCAGCTCAAGGCGAGCGCTCTACCACTTGAGCTACAGTGCCACTTCCGTTTTTCTGATGGTTTATTGGAGATAGGAGTCTCACGGTCTCTCCTGCCCAGGCTGGCTTTGAACTGCGATCCTCAGATCTCAGCCTCCTGAGTAGCTAGGATTACAGGCGTGAGCCACCAGCGCCTGGCTTGGATTCTTTTTTTGTGTGTGTGAATGTATGTGTGTGTGGTCTGGTAGTGGGGCCTGAACTCTGGGCCTGGGCGCTGTACCTCAGCTCTTCAGCTCAAGGCTAGCTCTCTACCACTTGAGCCACAGCACCACTTCCGGCTTTTTTTCTTTTTGCTTATGTGGTACTAAGGGATCGAACCCAGGGCCTCATGCATTCAAGGCAAGCGCTCTACTACTAAGCCAACTTCCCAGCTTGGGGCTTGGATTCTGAGCCAAGGTGCTGTCCCTGGGTTCCTTTTGCTAAAGACTAGCAGTCTACCACTTGAGCCACAGCGCCACTTTCCGCTTTTTTGGTGATTAACTGGAGATAAGACTCATGGGCTGGGCACCAGTAGCTCACTCCTGTAATCCTCGCTACTCAGGAGGCTGAGATCTGAGGATCACGGTTCAAAGCCAGCCCAGGCAGGACAGTCCATGAGACTCTTATTTCAAATAAAAACCACTAGAAAACCAGAAGTGGCACTATGGCTCAAGTAGTTGAGTGCTCGCCTTGAGCTGAAGAGCTCAGGGACAGTACCCAGGCCCAAAGTTCAAGCCCCACGACAAAAAAAAAAAAAAGACTCATGGGAAGGCGGCTCAGTGGTAGAGTGCTTGCCTTGCATGCATGAGGCCCTGGGTTTGATTCCTCAGTACCACATAAGCAGAAAAAGACAGAAGTGGTGCTATTGACCAAGTGGTAGAGCGCTAGCCTTTGAGCTGAAGAGCTGAGGGACAGCACCCAGGCCCATAGTTCAAGCCTCATGACTGGCCAAAAAAAAAAAAAAAAAACATGGACTTTGACTAGGGATGGTTTCGAACCGTGATTTTCAAATCTCCGGCTCTGAGAAGTTAAGATTACAGGAAGAGCCACTGGCACTCCACAAAATTAATACTCTTTAATAAGAATATTTTGGGGGCTGGGAAGGTGGCTCAGTGGTAGAGCGCTTGCCTTAAATGCATGAGGCCCTGGGTTCGATCCCTTAGTACCACATAAGCAAAAAGAAAAAAGCTACAAGTGGCGCTGTGGCTCAAGTGGTAGAGCGCTAGCCTTGAGCTGAAGAGCTGAGGGACAGCACACAGGCCCAGCATTCACTCCCCACGACCATACCCTCCCCCCCCTAAAAAAAAAAAGTATTTTGGTATGAGCAATGATTGACTTGTTCATGGCCTACAACAACTAGATCTTGCTTTGAGACTTGTTGCTGATAACAGTTCTGTGCTGATACAGGTAACCTTCTTCCTGCCCAGCCCCTAAGTCTGTGGTTTGCTCTGAGCTTAGTTATCACTTAAATCACTTCTTTTCTTTTCTTTTCTTTCTTTTTTTTTTTTGGTCTGTTGTGGGCTTGAACTCTGGGCCTAGGTGTTGTCCCTCAGCTCTTCAGCTCAAGGAGAGCGCTCTACCACTTGAGCCACAGTGCCACTTCTGACTTTTTCTGCTTTTGTGGTGCTGAGGATTGAACCTAGGGCCTCATGCTGCAAGGCAAGCACTCTACCACCGAGCCATCTTCCCAGCTCTTGAATTTTATTCTTGTCTTACAAAAAGGTATAAGTAGGAAATTTATAACTAAAATGAAGACTTTGATTTCTTTTTTCTGAGAATAGTTGTGAGTGATGCTTAATTTGTTTTCTCTCAGCGTATTTAAGCTTCTTATCTGAAATAATGATGAAGATTAAATGAAGTGCTCATCACTTTCAATCTCTAATGAACCCACTAAACTGTTAATAAGAGTTGAAAGGTTTTTTGTTTTTTTTTTTTATTTCCCTTTTTTTTTTTTTTTGTTATTTTTGGGTGGGTCTCAGGGCTTGAAGTCAGGGCCTGGGCACTGTCACTGGGCCTCTTTGTGCTCAATGCTAGTGTCTACCACTTGAGCCACAGTGCTACTTCCAGCTATTTCTGAGTAGTTTATTGGACCACTGGGTACTGGGTATCATAGCAAGCATCTTGATCTTTATTAGAAACTTGAAAAGAAGAAAAAAATAGAAGAGCAGATAGGACCTTCATGGGTTAGGAAAGCCCTTCACTCTGGTCCTTGGTGTGTTCACATTCGCTTTTTCCCTTCCTCCTAGGTGGCCGCTGCCAGGATGGAAGCTGGACACAACCGCCGCCACTTTAAGGCGGCCACGTTGGAACTGAGTGAGGTGAAGAAGGAGCTGCAGGCCAAGGAGCATCTGGTGCAGACGCTTCAGGCTGAGGCTGATGCGCTCCAGTGAGTACCTGGGGAATATCTGAAGAGCTGATCACAGCGACCTCAGTGGTAGAATGCCATACAGCATTTCTTGGTACAAGAAGAGCTATTTGGACCCTCCTTCTATCTTTAATTCTCATTTAACAGGATGGAGGGCTATCATTTACTAAGTTACTAAGTACTTTTGAGACAAATTAAAGAATTATCCAATTCTACTTCTGGAAGCCTAAGATTATCCCTTGCCCTAACCCTCTCCTTCACTTGTTCATCCTTTCTGGAACAGAAAGGGCCACTATATGAGCCCTCATCCCAGGCTGTATTCTGGTTCATTGTAGCTCCCCACTAGTGTAGCATTGAGTCAGACCACATGGAGGTTGGCAAGTCTGGGACTGAACACAACAGCAGTCTTATTTAGTATGCTTCTCACTGTATGCACCACCTCCGTCTGAATTGTGCAGGGAAAGCAAATCTCCCGTAAGAGTTCATAGGCTTGGCTGAGGTGGATTATTGTCCACAGCCTGTGGTGAATAATCTCTCTTCCCAGGACAGTCACGTTCCACACATTGAGTCTTCAGAGTAGGGAGAGCACATTGGGAGGATGCTGTCATTTTATTTTTTACATGCAGGATTCGGGAAGGGAAACATTTACAAGAAATAACACAGTTCCAGACAGAACTGGCAGAGACCCGGACCCGGCTCCAGCTCCTACAGCAGCAGCTGGACGTACAACTGAGTCAGCAACCTGTGGGAAGCCAAGAGGTGATAGCTAAGCTGCCAACTGAAGCTGTCTGCTCAGAAAGAAACTTACTATAAAAAGATTAGCATAAATAATGTGGTCATTTTCCAGTGTGTCACTTTAAGCTGGACTATAATCCTAGTTACTCAGGAGTCTGGCACCGAAGAATCGTAGCTTGAAGCCAGCCCAGACAAAAAAGTATGAAACTCTTGTTTCTGATTAGCAAAATAAAGCAAGGCTGGAGGCATGGCTCAAGTGGTACAGCACTAGCCAAGAGCTACCAGACTGAGCTAGCATAAAGCTTGAGGTAGTTCAAGCCCTGGTACAAGCAAAAAATAAATAAATAAAATGTCACTTTAAAATTGTCTTGGTCACTGGGTACCCCTGGCTCATACCAATAAATCCTAGCTATTCAGGAAGCTGAGATCTGAGTCATAGTTCAAAGCCATCCTGGGCAGGAAAGTTGGTGAGACTCTTACTTCCAATTAACTGCCAAAAACCCAGAATTGGAACTGTGGCTCAAGTGGTAAAGCACTACCCTTGAGCGAAAAAGCTCAAGGACAGCATCAAGCTTGAGGACTGGCACTCCCCACCCTACCCCCCCCCCCCAAAAAAAATGTCTTGGTCATGAATCCCCTTTTTCACTTTAGATGGAAAATCTCAAATGGGAGTTGGATCAGAAAGATAGAGAAATTCAGTCTTTGAAGCAGCAGCTGGACTTGACAGAGCAGCAGGGCAAGAAGGAACTGGAGGGAACACAACAGTCCTTGCAGGTGCGGTTCCTGTCCCTGGGCAGAGGTGGTACCATTCCTGTCCCCAGGATCTGGGTGGAGGTAGTGATAAGTCCTGTCCCTGGGATCTCAGCAACATTCTGCAAGTTAGTGATCAGATACGAGTTCCTGGTTCCTGTGCTGAGTATCTTATAGCCAGGCTGTGTGTGACTTGCATTACAAGAGTTCTTATCAAATTGGATGCCCTGTTTCTGAAGACATTGTTCCCATTTTAGAAGGAGTCTACCTCTGCACGGTCACACAGCCAGATAGATTCCGGTGGACCTGAATCTGATGTTCAAATCCATCCCTGTGCTAACTTGTGTCAAGTGTGTCAGGAACATGACATTTTTAAACAATATATATGGGGGTGGGGGAGACAGAATTTTGATCAACTTTCATGGAGAATCAGTGTGCACTCATTACTACTCATGGGAAGTATCAGAAACACAGCTTGCTAAGATTCTTTACTTGTAAACAAATGATTTGAACCAGTTAAACTAGAACTGGTTTGTATTGTTTCATAGGAACGCTTATTCTTGTAGCTGACATAAGAATTTAAACAGATCCTTAGACTTGATTGTGCAGTATGATCATGTACATAATGCTGTTTCCTATGCAAAGGCAAGGAACTTGAGTAAAAATGATGAGGTATGATTCCTATTGGACTCTTTACAAAGTGTATGAACGGGTGAGGAAATTGTCCTAAATGAAAATGGCTCAGTAGCTGTCCTAGGAAAATCAGTCTTAGAACCAACATACAAACTTAAGATCTTAGAATTGTGCTTAAGAGCTTTTAAGCTTCTACATCTGAATTTACTTTCCTTAGAATATCAAATCTGAGTTGGAGATGGCTCAAGAAGATCTGTTGATTACTCAGAAGGATAAATTTATGCTTCAAGCCAAAGTATCTGAACTGAAGAACAGTATGAAGACTCTACTTCAGCAGAACCAGCAGCTCAAGTTGGATCTCCGTCGAAGCACAGCCAAGGTGGTATTCAGCCAGGCCCCTTCTAGTTAAGCTGATACCTCCCATGTGTGGATTTGTTTGGGCAAGAGGCTGATAGGGTGTCTAATCATTCACACATAAAGTAGATACAGTCAACTCTGAATAACTACTGTATGAAAGTAAATAACTATAGAGGATTCTGCTTTGACAGTAGACCGAATCATTTTATTTGGTGCCTATTCTAATGGAATGGTTTACTCTTTTTTCATGAATCCAAATACCATTTTGCTGTAATATATTTTTTTGTATTATACTTTGTTGTTGTTGTTGGTTGTGGGGCCTGAACTTTGGGCCTGGGCACTGTCCCTCAGCTCTTCAGCTCAAGGTTAGCACTCTACCACTTGAGCCACAGCGCTACTCCTGTTTTTTTCTGCTTATGTGGTGCTGAGAAATCGAACCCAGGGCCTCATGCATATGAGGCAAGCACTCTACCACTGAGCTACCTTCCCAGCCCTTGTATTATACTTTTAAATGAAAGAATAGGTAGACAGCTGTAGTGTAGGCTTTGGTGGGACCCCAAACTTTATGCTTGAGTGTTGAGATACCAGATTTTTTTTTTTTTTTTTTTTTGCCGGTCATGGGGACTGAACTCTGGGTCTGGGCGCTGTCCCTCAGCTCTTCAGCTCAAGGCTAGTGCTCTACCACTGGAGCCACAGCGCCACTTCTGGCTTTTTCTGTTTATGTGGTGCTGAGGAAACGAACCCAGGGCCTCATGCTTGCAAGGCATGCATTCTACTGCTGAGGTACCTTCCCAGTCCTTCCAGCAGATTTTTTTGCACACAGTCTACAATAAATAGATGCGCGCTCTTTCAGATTCTCAGAGTTATCTAGCATAATTTGCTATTGGTGGAAAAGCTTTTAGGTTCTAGAAAGCTCAATAAGTTGTATAACCTACTTGATTTCTTAGGGAAACTCAGAGGTAAGGCTGTGGGTCTCCCATAGGAGAGCTCTAGTTTGGGATCTAGCTGTGTTCTCCCAAAGGGCCATACATAAATTGCCGTTACACATTAGGAACAAAGCTGTTGAACAGCCTAATTTGTCTGGTGATAACCAGGCTGTATTGATAGAAAAAGCCTCTTAGGGGGCCTTGTTTGTGGGGAAGCTTACGATATAATGATTTTGTAAACAGAGGAAGGAGCCAAAAGGTGAGGCCAACTCCTCCAGCCCTGCAACACCCATCAAGATCCCTGACTGCCCTGTGCCCGCCTCTCTGTTGGAGGAGCTGCTACGACCTCCGCCTGCCGTGAGCAAGGAGCCTCTCAAGAACCTGAATAGCTGTTTGCAGCAGCTCAAGTATGATCTGTACTCTGTGCATTTTATTTAGCCTTTGAGATGTCATGTAATTTAGTGCCAGCAGGACCCAAATAGACTTCTGCTTGTTGGGGCTTCTCAAAGGCAGAGCCTCTAAGTCCATGTTGTAATGTGGAAGTGGCTTTATGAACTACTCTGGTGAACCAGATATTTTGTATCTGTCAGCCATGGACTGAGTCTCCTAGCTTAGGATACAAGAGGCCAGTGTCATGGGGCATGCAAGATAACGTTTCCATGGGCAGATGATAGCTCCCACATATGAGTTGGTCAACATGGACTCTTGGGTGTATTGTCTTTCATCTTTAACATGGTCCTGGTAGAAGTATCTCTCAAGCAGAAGCTGAGCCAGATGGTCTCCTGGGTTCTGCCAAAAATGAAGACAAATGCTTCGAACCCTTGTATTCTGTGAGGATGGCTGGTTTTGCTACCTGGTTACATATTTGTTAGTCTCTGAAAGCACCATACATGCCAATGAGCCAGTGCATCAACTCCAGTTTGTTAGTGGCAGCTATTGATGGTTGGTCTGCCTGGGCCTCATGTGACCAGATCTTCCTTTCCCTTGTCTCATGTCCTCAGGCAGGAGATGGACAGTCTACAACGCCAGATGGAGGAACACACCATCACTGTGCACGAGTCTCTGTCCTCATGGGCTCAGGTGGAAGCTGCCTCGGGAGAGCATGCCCACCCCAAGGGAGACACAGAGCCACATGGTCAAAGTAGGGCTCCCAGAGGAGGGCTGGATCAGTGACCATCTTCTTTGTTGCCACCAAATGTGGGCATCTGTGTAAAGGAATGTTCTTTTGTCAATATTATTTATTTGACATTTTTCTAAGATGACATATAAATTTTGCTTTTGCCTTTAACAAGGAGTAAAATAACAGAAGGATAGCCAAGGATGAGTCATTTGAAATCACAACTAGCTTTTCCCATGAAATGACCAAATCTTAAAAAACAGTCTTCAATGAAGTGCTTGATGGGTTATTTGCAGAAGGAGGCCTCTTATGAGTAATGGTAGGTGATGCCATCAGCCAGGTCCTAGTTGGAACTTTGCACAACAGGGTGTGTGGTCAGCAGTGCCTGGGCAGGCTAGGATGATGTTTCTCACCCTCAGTAAGAGTTTTACTTTGCTGCAGTATCACTTTCACCTTTGGCTTTTCATTCACTTCTTAATAGCCATCCCACCATAAGCTGTGTACATAAATACCGGACGTCTTTTAAAAGCCTATGCCTATATTATTTAAGGAAGGATCTAATTGTCTTTATTGACTGCATTTTGAAAATTTGCTGTTGGGAATTGTTATGTACAGGCTTTAGGGATGTCATAAAGTTATATTTTAGGAAATATTACTTACCTTCTAAAACCAAATATTCTTGCACAGAAAAGGTTTCTTGTTTTTGTTTTTCTTGACAGTCTTCTGTCAATGTCTTTGAAATTTATAGCACTGACCTGTTAGGCTACTAGTCCTGTGTGGTCACTAGCCACTTAGCTGTCACCAGGTAAGCCTAAGTCAGACCCTTGATTGGGCTCAGTGGCCACCAGGAGACACAGGACACCAGTGTCCCCACAAACTGAACTGACATTTGAGGAGTGCAGGGACCCGAAGGAGAGTGGAAGGGGCTTTAAACTCATCTACAGGTAGTAGGCTGTACCTCCATGCTCCATGAGATGGTTGGTGTTTACTCAAGCCTGTGTATGAGTATTAGCATTCAGGAGAGACCCCTGGGCCCTTGGAAGATGCCAGTGTTACCTGAAGTCATAGTTAGTGTCTGGAAGAAGGTCGTGTTGATCCCATAAGACACAGGAGGTTTAGAGACAGATGCTTTGTCCAGCACCTACTTCATGAGATTTTCCTGGGATTTGCTACAGATGTGTGCTGACAGAGAATTGAAGTCTTTAAGTTCCCCCCTAGTTTGGTAAGACGATCTAAAGTAAAACTTGTTATGAGTTAGAAGGAAAGAGGGAGGTCTAGGTGCAAGCAGATCTGATATGAAAGTGAATTTCTAAGTGTTATTGATCAGCCTTGTTGGTAGAATACCTGTGGCTTCTTTGTTGAGAAAACAGTATGGAATTTTAAGTTGTTTATGTTCTCTTGTAATATATAGTGTTAGGAGGTTAACTGATTGATGCAGTGAAGAGATTGAAAGATGTTTGGTGTTTTGAAAATATCCCCTAGCAAGTATCAGAACTTTTAAAATATGTATAGAATTTATACAGGGCTAATCTTGAAATAATACTTGAAAACTTCATTTTAAATATACCCTATCTTAAATTGGAAATTGTATTTTGTGCCCATACTGGGGCTTGAACTCAGGGCCTGGGCACTGTCATTTAGCTTTTTGCTCAAAGCTGGTGCTAAATTTCTGGAAATGGTTTTAACTGCATTGTTCTTGTCCTAATAGGAAAGAAAGATGGTAGTTTACATTCTTATTTATTTTGGTTGAATTATCTTGTTTTAAGAAATAATGCCTGGGCTTGTTCTGTGGCAGGATTTTTCTCCCTCCTGCTCAGGACTTTGGGTGGGGCTTACTATTTTTCTCTTGTCTTAGGAGAAACTCATTCTTGCTTAATTTACCAAGTAAAAGTCCTTCTCCTGTCCTCATCCCTTTCTTCTTTTGTCCTTATCGCTTTCTTTTGCTCTGCTGTACTGAGTATGGGTATGTGTACTCTCAGAAATGGCAACTCCTCTAGGCCTTGCCATCATTTTGTGTGAGTCTCTTTGCCAGGGCCACATTGGTCCCACGAAGGGACAGCTCAAGCCTCTGTCCATCTTTGTGCATCGATTTTTATGCACACCTACAGTTCTAGATCAGAGGTCTCCTACACTCAGTTGGTATAGGGAAAGGCCAATAGTACCTGTATTCCTATGTCCATGAATATTTTCTTAAACAAAAATAAGGTGTCATATAAAGATTCTGGAAGTGAAAGGGACCAGTCTATTTGAAACAAAGATGCCCTAGAGTCTTTCTACCCAAGACTCTAGTAACATTAATAACACTGGGGTGTGAGGCAGAATGAGCCTTAATCTAATGCACCTACTATAGAGTTAAAAAATATATATATCATTTTGTAGTGGTTTCAGGGTCTGATACGATCCTTGGGTTGATGCTTTAGGAGGGTCTGAAAATTTTAGTGGTTTTGTTTCTCATTTCTATTTAAAAAAAAAAGCAAAAACAACAACCTTCTTCAAAGAGTCCTCAGGTTGGGGGTTTCCTAGGAAAGGTGTCAACATGTGTCACAGATTGTAACTTTAAAAAGCATGTTGGTTTTTTTTTATGGATATAAGTGTGCTTGGGAATTCCTTAAATTTTGTGCAATAAACTATTTTTGGTAAAGGTTTTCATATTTCATTGGGGAAGTTTCATTTTAAGTTTTTATCTCACGTTAAACCCTATGTTAAAGTGAGTTTAGAAAGAGAATTCTGTTCTGTCATGGTTTGTTGCTAATTTAGACCAAGCAAGAGACGCACGACATCGTCTCTCCTTTGTAGGCTGGGTGGCAAGCAGCATGGGAAGAGAAGTGTGTGGGACAGGGGCTCTGGTAGGTTAATACTGATCACATGATTCTTACATCTTAGTCCTGTCACTCCTTATTTCTTTTTTCATTTGTCCTTTATTCCTAATCAATAAGGATTAGCCAAGTATAGTTTTCAGCTAAATATTACTATTAATAAACCTGTGGTTTGAAAAAAATGCAAAAAGCAGCCAGTCTCAGGTTTTGAGTTGGTTGGCGTTTTCTTCCTACACCTCCATGTTATTAGCTGCAGTAAAGGTTATGCGACTGCCCTCTGAAGTACTGGAAAGCAGTTCTGGGGCAGCTGTCCGGGGGGCTGTCATCCTGTTTACGCCAGCAGAGCCCGAGCCCGCCCCGGGCGGCCTGCGTGTCCGCCGCCCTCTCTCTTCACTGGGCAGCGACTCTGCCGAGAGCCCAGCGTGCCGGACACGCTCTGCATAAAGTGGACTCGAGTCTCGCCGGCTCCGCCGCGCCCACAGCCCCCGCGGCCAGGGACTGCGGAGCCGGCGGAGCGC